TGAGTAAAATTCAGGGCATCACAAATCAAGATTTGATTATATGAATAGCAAAGAAAAGTCTACATCCATCTTATCTATGTCATTATGGCTTTACATACTCTCTCAAAAAATCAAGGTTTGATTATGTGAATATCAAAGAAAAAGACTGCTTGCATCTTTATCTATAGAGTTTTGTTACAAATACAGAAATAGTATATAGAATCAGTCCACGACTAATTTTGTACACCATTTCTGTGCACTTAGTTTTTATTTATTTATTTTATTTTTATCTATACTATTATGGCTTTACATTCTCCCACAAAATCAAGATCTGATTATGTTAAATTTGATTAGCTTGGGAACCACTTAAAATATATAGTCAAAAATTTAAAAAATTATTACTAAAAAAATCAACTATTCTCTCTATTTTATTACACGTCTTTTTGTAAAAAAATAAAAAAATAATTAAAATAGTTAGTTCTCAGAACAATTCTCAAATCCCACCAAAGTTTACTATTTCTGGTTTATAATTAGAAATTTTAATACTATGAAACAATTTATACAGATTACAAAAACTAAGGTATGCTAAGAATTATATAATTACAAAGTTAAATTACCTCAAGAATCACAATTTATATATTTAGAAAAAAATAAGAAATTAAAAAATTTAAAACTTCATAGTCATTTAGATTAGCTCCCAAATGAGAGAGAAAGCGTTCGATTGATCTAATAAGAAACTTTTACTCGTACTGAAATGACAAGTTGTCATTAGTGTGATAAAATCAAAATATAACTTTTTAAGCTCTACCAAGTCAAGAATAATTTTGACAAAGTTATACTGTCATTAAAAAAAACAAAATAACACTCAATTAATATATATTAATATGCGTTTGGAAGGAAAAAAAAATTGAGTGCATACCTAATCTTTGACATAATACATAAAGGACATGTTTGATTGGAAGGATTAAAGCATGGGATTAGGATTATTAATCCGTGGGCCCAATCATCCTATGTTTGTTTTGACATTTTGGTTTAAGACTATTAATCCAATGGATAATTAATCCAACAAATTTGTAGGATTATTAGTAATGGGGTAGGGGTAGGATAGTTAATACCACACTAATTTGATAGGATTATTAATACCTCACTATTAGTATTGTGAATCAAACATGACGAGTGATGGCCATAACCTCAAGATTATTAGGCCTCGTTTGGGAATAGGCTAATTTAGTAACTTTTGGCTATTTGGCTAAAAATTAGGTAAAAAAAACTTATATATTTGGGATGATTTCTTGACTAATTACGAAAAGATGTACAAAAAGTAGAGAGAAAAGAGAATCTTTGACTTTTTGATATGAGTTGTTGACTTTTTGACTAAAAAGGTAACTTTTTAACTAAAAAGATAAGTCTCCAAACGAAGCCTAAAGCCAAATCTTTAACCTTTGAACTAATGATCACCCTCATACTAAACATTAAAATTGCTCCAAGCTATTTAAACCTATTTTAGCGTTTGCTTGAACACCATTGCTGAGATCCTTTGTGTGATGTCTCAATTTAATTTTGATTGATATAAATTGTAAGATGTATCACATTTATGCTGATTTTTAAGAGAAAACTAATAATTAAATATGAATGATGTGGAACATTATTACCAAAGGAAAAATTGCAAATAAGTGATATTTTTATAAAATATTTACCAATTAATGAAAAAAACTTATAAATTTAATTATTAAAATTGATAAAATTTTCCACTTATTTATAAATATTTTTGAAATTTTGCATTGAAGTGCAATTTCCCCATTGCCGTACGTCCAATAACTTTTCAAAATTTTGTTATTACATATCATGTCAATCTATGATAAAATTTTGGGAAAATGCTCCGATGTACACTCTTAAGGAAAGCATACAAAATATATAATTTTATCATAAAGTTTTATAATATTAATTATAAAATGTGTAATATCGTCATAAATTGATGTAACAAAAGATATCGTAATCAAGTTACAATTTTTTGCGACATCAATCACAAAATTTTTGACATTTTATTATGCCAATTTATAATAAAGTTACGCATTTAATAATTGATGTTATGAAACTTTATAGTAAAATACATTTTTGTGGTGGGATATATGGCATACAATAAGATTTCCCTAAAAGCTTTATAAAAATTTAGGATAAATTACAAATACTTCTCTTAAAATTTGCTTAAAATATAATTTGTTCTTGTTATTTTGGAAATTATATATTATCACTTAAAATTTATAATTTCATAACAAATACCCATTTCATTAATAAATTATCAAGTCAATGAACAGTTTTTAATGAAGTCAAAATTTTATTTCAATTAATAATTCAAGTAATTTAATCATTGTATAGGAGAGCAATTAAAAATTTTATTTTTTCAATTAGTTTTGCTAAATAAAAAATTCAGACAAACGAATATTTTTAATTTTCTAAACCACAGAACAATCTATATTTTAAGCAAACTTTAAATATTGTAGTTGTAATTTACCCTAAAATTTATTAGAAAATGCTATTGACCCCAAACTTTCTACCAAATAAATGACTAAATGTCTAACATTGGTGTGGGGTCTACAAAATTGCAGATCTTATACCCATATAAGACATTTGGTCATTTATTTAGTAGAAGATTTAGTATCCCTGACATTAGCCCCGTTTGATAGAGTTGTGGGAAAGTAATTGTAACTTATACCCTAACAATTTATAGCTTATAGCTGTGAATATAAGCTGATTTTTGACTTATAAATTAATCTTCTCATCCCCCACTCAAAGAATAAGTTGATTTTTGACTTACAAAAAGCTATAAGCTGTATTGTTAAGCTGAACCAAACACATCAAAATAACTTATATTAAGCTAAAAGCTGAAATAAATTAAAAATAAGTCCTACCAAATAGGGCCATTACTCTAGTCCGTTATTTGATTGAGCTTCGACTTCAAGTTTGGCTGGCCCAATCAATTAACAACAAATAAAAAGATGAGTTAAGCCCAATATGTTTATATCAAAATCCATTTTTCAAGTTGGCTGGAGAAGTTTGTGTTCGGGTTGAATTTGGATCTATTTCATTTATGGCTCTAACTTCGAATTTGATATAAAAGACGAGTAAAAATTCAATATATTACACCATCATTTATACTCGGTATCATTTATACTCGGTGTTATTAATTGTTATTAATTAATAATAAACTGAACAAAGATCGTAAATCTTATATACATAGTCAGATATACATATTTATATTATAATTTATTATTGAAAAATGAATGATATTATATACCGAAAATCACATAACATTATTATTGTTTTAAATGTTTTTCTTTTTATGAAAAGACATTGTAAAATGGAACGGTGACAAGTGATATCGATCCAATCTTGTGGTGCTAATATGAATAATTTGAAATAAACTCTTCACAGGAACAAAGAAAAAAAAGAAAAAAAAAAAATGTAGCCTATTTACTATTTCTACCAAATGCGAAACTTTGTACACTTGATTTTCCTATTATTATTATTATTATTATTATTATTAAACATAAAAGCATCATTTTCTCGTGTATTTATTAATGTGGTCTTAATTATTTAAAAAGTGAGTTCAATTTAAGATGCATAGTATTTAACAATTGAAAAAAAATATTCAAGATAATTTTGTATAAAAAGGAATCGTCAGTTATAATGTTGAAAAAATTTCAAAAAAATATTCATAATGTTAGAGATTGCATCATTTCAGTCAATTGCCACACAAGCAATTTTCTTTTTATTCATACGTATTTGGGAAGTTGGTTTTGGTGGGTTAGGGGCTAAAATAACTACAAAAAACAAAATAAGTTATTTTAACCACAATAAACAAAACATCAAATCCAACTCATAATCATTACACTCCTCTCTCATAAAAAAAATCAAAAAAGTTAAAAAGTTAAAAAGTTCTTTTCAAACCAAACTTTTTAAGCCCAGACTAAAATAGTCAAAAAATCAAAAAATTAAAAAATCAACCCACTTGCCAAACGGAGGCTAAGCAATTTTGCAGGACTCGTTTTATTTCTTCAAGTTATGAAACAGAATCTCCTCTTCTTTTCCATAAAAGTCCCAGAGCTCCCAAATTATTAGTAATTTTATTTTGATAAATTATACGTAGAGTAGAGTTGTTAAATGAATCAAGCTATTTAAATAGCTCGTTTAAGTTTAGTTAAGGTTTCGTTTGGAAATAGATTAATTTAGTAACTTTTTAATTATTTGACTAAAATATGGGTTAAAAAAAACTAATATGTTTGTGATGATTTTTAAATATTTTACGGAAAAAATATATAAAAGACAGAGAAAAAAGAAAATTTTTCACTTTTTATATAGGTGGTTGACTTTTTTATTTTTTTAATATTTTTTTAATTTTTTGATAAAAAAAAAAGTCACTTACCAGCGTTATTACATAAATGAAAGTACAGCTCAAAAGAAAAAGATGGCCATTGGCCAAATAGCCGGTCTCCTCACTGACCTCAAAACCCAGCAAAACAGAATACATAGAACTTGAGGTCAAAAGCAGCCACAAAATCTCCACCCAGACTAAGGAAACACCCATTTGTTGATCTTTCTTCCTTCATTTCTCATCTTCGTCTTCTCTCACCATTGACAAACCACTATATATAAGTATTGCCATGGTGTTAAAATACTACAACTCAACCCAACTCAACCATCTAACAAAAACCCACAACACAGATAAACAAAATTATCACTTCCCTCCCTCACAATCTTCACTTTCAGGCAGCAAATCCAGCATTTCAAGGCACAAAATCAAATGGGCTTCAATTCAAACAACAATCAGAACTTGTTGTCTAAGATAGCAACAAACAAAGGGCATGGTGAAAACTCTCCCTATTTTGATGGTTGGACGGCGTACGATAGCAATCCATACCATCCTACCCAGAACCCAACTGGGGTTATTCAGATGGGTCTTGCAGAAAACGAGGTAACAGAAAAATCAATGGGTGACCCAGAATAATTCAAGGTGCGATCAATTGTTCCATGCACACGTCTGTGAATCTTTTTTCTGTGCACCTAGTATTTTTTTTTTCTTTTTTGATAACTCAAGTATTCTCAACCCCTCTAATTTAAAGGAAGTCAGGACTAATCTTGAGGGGTATGTAGCCGGTAGGAAGCCGGACACCCTTTTGCAAACTACTACATGCACTCACCTAGTAGAGAATCGAACCTGGCCGTGCGCTCTACCCACACAACCCAAGCAACGCTTTAACCACTGGGCCAACCTGCCCCACCTTCTGTGCACGTAGTATTATTGATATTATATTCGATATTCACAATAATCCGGAAAAATTAAGAGGAAATGAGGAGTTAAAATGATGTATTACCCTGCATAATATGGTGTCGGTACCAAGAATGCTTCACCAGGATCAGCTAAACAGAAGGCCAACATTTCATGAGCTCCAGTAGCTCCACCGCTCATGACAATGCGATCTAGGTCAAATGTCACTCTATCTCCTCTCACTTTTCCCATAAACTTGGCCACACCCTGTTCATGATTAACCATCCGTCATATTCACAAGGTAGAACACAATTCAATTACAACAATGATTCATCCCACTAAAAACATTACCACTAATAGCACTAATGCATTAAAAAAGTAAAAAAAAATTAAAAAAAATACAACTCCAAGACCAAAACATCACATCATTAATGACGGGACCCACTGCCACCTAATTAGTGGGAGCACTAATTAGTGCTCCCAAGCATTTTTCATTCAATTATTGAGTAATATCATTAGAGAGAGAGAGAGAGAGAGAGAGAAAGAGAAGGTTTTGATGATTTTAGTACCTTTCTGAACTCTGGCAAGCCATGATAATCCTGATACACAGCAATGCCTTTGAATTCATTTGCCCCTTCAGCAGTGAAAATAGAGGCTTTGGGGTTATTCACAACCCATTCTTTAATCAAATCAAAGCAAAGCTGCAAAAACCCATAAAGCAGACAGCTTTAATCAAATGTTCCAAGATAATATTATAATAACTTTGTCAATTTCATATGAAAGCTTTGATGTTGCAATCTCTGTTACCTCGTTTTCTGCTAGACCCGTCTGAATAACCCCATTTGGGTTCTGGGTAGGATGGTATGGATTGCTATCGTACGCCTTCCAACCATCAAAATAGGGAGAGTTTTCACCATGCCCATTGTTTGTTGCTATCTTAGACAACAAGTTCTGATTGTTGTTTGAATTGAAACCCATTTGAATCTGCAAAAACCCATAAAGCAGACAGCTTTAATCAAATGTTCCAAGATAATATTATAATAACTTTTTGTCAATTTCATATGATGTTGCAAACTCTGTTACCTCGTTTTCTGCAAGACCCATCTGAATAACCCCAGTTGGGTTCTGGGTAGGATGGTATGGATTGCTATCGTACGCCTTCCAACCATCAAAATAGGGAGAGTTTTCACCATGCCCATCGTTTGTTGCTATCTTAGACAACAAGTTCTGATTGTTGTTTGAATTGAAACCCATTTGATTTTGTGCCTTGAAATGCTGGATTTGCTGCCTGAAAGTGAAGATTGTGAGAGAGGGAAGTGATAATTTTGTTTATCTGTGTTGTGGATTTTTGTTAGATGGTTGAGTTGGGTTGAGTTGTAGTATTTTAACACCATGGCAATACTTATATATAGTGGTTTGTCAATGGTGAGAGAAGAAGGAGGGGTGAGAGAAGGAGGAGGAGATGAGAAATGAAGGAAGAAAGATCAACAAATGGGTGTTTCCTTGAAAGTCTGGGTGGAGATTTTGTGGCTGCTTTTGAGGCATCAAGATCTCCTCCTTGAGTTTCTCTTTGATTTCGTACTTGCTGGGTTATTGAGCTCACTTTTAGGTTTAATTTCGATGATCCGAATAGTTGACATTTTAAAATTTGTTGAATATATTATACCTGTAAAATATCAAGTTAATCGGATATCAGAAAGTATATGTTCGAAAAACTGTTTATTAAATTTTTTAAAAAAATAGTTTTTAGTTCGATGATCCAAACACATGCTTTCTGATATTCGATCAACTTAATTTTTTACAGATATGATATACTCAACAAATCTTAAAATATGAACAATTCGAATCCTCAAAATTAAGTCTAAAAATGGGCTCAATAGCGTAACAAGTAAAAAAATAAAGCAGAAAACTCAAAGGCGGGAATCTTGATTCGCTTTTCACCTCAAGTTTTACGTATTCTTTTTTACTGGGTTTTTAGGTTAGTGAGGAGCCAGGCTATTTGGCCAATGGCCATCTTTTTTCTTTGGGCAAATTACATATACACCTTTCGAGGTTTGGCTAAATTACAGATATTCTTGAGGTTTCGGAAATTACATCCCACCCCCTGAGGTTTGTATTTTTATAACAATTTGCCCCATGAGGTTTATATTTCATAACAAATTACCCCCTAATTTCTTATGCAAATATAGCATTCAGGGGGGAATTCGTAATTTCTCAAACCTCAGGGGGCATCTGTAATTTAGCCAAACCTCGAGGGGTGTATATGTAATTTGCCCTTTTTCTTTTGAGCTATACAATGAACCAAATTAGGTAATAATTAATCAATTTTTATTAATAAAATAATTTTTTTAAAATTTGAAGGAAAGAAAATGATAAAATTATAATTTTTATATTCACAAGGGTAAAAATGATAATTACAAAGTAAAAAGTTATTTTATAACTTATTTACCAAATACTACTCTACTGTTTAAATCTACAATCTTACAGTTACACCAAATAGGTTACCAATTTATGCTCACAGCTAATAAGTTATAATTTGTTAAATTATAATTTATAATCATTTTCTTACAACTCTACCAAATAGGGCCTAAATCAAGTTTGAACACTTTTTAAAATTTATTAAGTTTTCAAATCAAGTTTGAATAACCTACTACTTAACCTGATAAAATACATTATAAAAATTAAACTACTAAAACTTAATACGTGTTCAACTCAAATAATTAATAAAAATTTGAATGGAAAACATCAAATTAGATTAAATTATAGAGGTTAAAAATATAATTTACAATTTTATTTTTCTCTAAAAAACTCTTTGGTTTTGACTTCTGAAAGGTGCATTCTAAATTAAGCGAGCGAGGTAGAGTGAGAGAGAGAGAAGGAGGAGTGAGAGGAAGAGTGTACGAATAGCCAGAATATGTACTGAGCTAGTTTAGTTATTTGGGCTCCTCTTTTTTCTTTTGTGCTCTCTTTTGGAAATATTAATTTGTTGCCGTAAAAGAGACACGGATTAGTGTCTTTTTTTTTTCAAAGGAAATACAGAAACAATGAAGAGAAATACAACAAAATAAGGAGAATAGGGAATTACTCCCTCTCATATCTAACCCCTGTCATATCAGCAATGAGGAGGGTCCTAAAACTCACAGGGGGATCCTCAAGGATTACAACATGGTCTTCTTGTTCTACCCCTAAGTTGGCTAGCTTGTCAGCACACTGGTTCCCTTCTCTGAGTATGTGAGTTAGGGAGCTCTTACACCTAGTCAAGAGGAATTTAGCATCTTCAATCAAAGCTTTATAAGGAAAGTTGGTGCTGGTTCCATGAAGAATATGATTGATAGCCAGTTCTAAATCACTTTCTATCTCAACTTCCATGATGCCTTTTTGAAAAAGGATTGTCAAGCCTCTGTAGATTGCCCACAGCTCAGCTTCCAAACTGGTGCAGTTCCCTAATTTGCCATAATAGCCCCAAACCCATTGGCCTGTTTCATCTCTTAGCAATCCTCCATAGCCAGACTGTCCAGGGTCGCCCTTGGAGCATCCATCTGTGTTGAGCTTGAGTTTACCTGCAAAGGGGAAGCACCAAACAATTAATTTGGATTGGTTATAACAAGGGTGGAGGGGAAACTGAAAAGCCTCTTGGATTTCAGTAGCATAATCCAGAATTCTTTTATGACTCTCATGAATGGATATGGTAACATTGTCAAAAACCATTCTATTTCTATACTTCCAAATCTGCCAAAGAATAATGGTGAAAACAATATTCCATTTTATGTTTGAAAACATTTTTCCTTTTAGTTTCAGATTGGAAGTTATCCATTCATTGAGGGGAGTAGTAGTTCCCTCCACTCATCAGTGTTCATCTTGGAAATTAATCCAAACTTCCTTGGCTTTAGTACACCCTCTCAAGAGGTGATTCGTGTCTTCACTGGAAGTATCACACCTGGGACATAAATCATTAGTGCCAATATTTCTAATACATCTCATTTGGTTAGTCAGAAGTCTACCGTGAAGAACAAGCCAAAGGAAGCTTCTTAGTTTTTGAGGGTCTTTGATTTTCTAGATCCAACTCCAATCAGTACCAGGCTCACCTGATTGGGTGATAAGATTGTAGGCAGCTACAGTGGAGAATTGTCCATTACAAGAACCATTCCACTGTGGAGTATCAGTATTGGTAACATATCTGGGCCTGTAAATTTGCAAAATTTCTTCCCTTTCCTGGGGCTGTATCTAGTTTTCCATAGCTCTAGGATCCTAATTTCCCTCATCATCTAGAATATTGCTAACAGTGGCTTGTTCATCCATGTGGTGATTGTTAGGACAGATTAACGAATGGTTTCCACACCACCAATCTCTCCAAAGTAAAACTTTTCCCCATTCCCTATAGTCCATTTGACACCTTTTCTAAGGGTGTCCTTTTGATTCACAATGTTTTTCCAAACATGAGATGCTCTCCTTGTGCCAGTCCAACCTTGGAAGGTGTTTTTAGTAAGATATTTACCTAGAAGCACCTTACACCAAAGTTTATCGTTATCATTAATGATTGTCCAGCCAAGTTTAGTAAGCAAGGCAGCATTCTGGTGTCGAGCTTTTCTGATTCCCAAACCCCCCGCTTTCTTACTTCTACAAACCATATCCCAGTTGACTAAATGGACCTTTTTCCTGTTCTCAGTATCTCCCTACAGAAAATTTCTATTGATTTTATCCATCTCATTACAAAGAGATCTGGGAAGTTCCATGGTTTGCATGTTATAGCTAGGCAACGCTGAAATGACAGATTTCACAAGGGTAGTTCTAGCTGCAAGAGAGAGACACTTGGCTTTCCAACCTAATAGCTTGTTTTTAAGCTTCTTAATAAGTTCATTGAAAGTATTATTGGAAATTATGTTATGAAGAAGAGGGGTTCCCAAGTATTTACCAAGGTTAGATGTGAGAGGAATGCCACACTGGGTACTAAGAGCCAAAGCAGTCCTCCTAGTGATGTTGGGAGAGATGAATTTTTGGATTTTTGCAGGTTGACTTTAAGGCCAGAGATACTACTGAAATCATCAAGAATGTTCATAATGGTAGCATAGTTTTCCTGATTAGCCATAGCAAAGAGAATCAGGTTATCAACAAAAAATAGGTGGGATAAGGAGGGGCTATTTTTAGAGGCCTTAATTCTTTTCCAATCTTCCTCTCTCACTTAATGCTAATCATGTTAGACAATCGCTTCATGCATAGGACAACTATGTAGGGGGACAAGGGGTCTCATTGTCTTAGCCCCCTCCCATTAGTGATACCCTCAAGCACTTCTTCATTCCAGAGAACATAAGATCTTTCATTAGTAATACAATTCATGATCAATTTAATCCAATCCATGTTAAGGCCAAATTCAATAAGGTTTTCATAAACAAATTTCCATGAAAGTCTATTATAAGCTTTTTCTAGATCAATTTTGAAAATTATGCCATATGTTTTCCCTTTCCTATGCCTAAGAGTATGGATAATTTCCTCGGTGATGATGATGTTATTAGTTGTACTGCGACCAGGGATGAAACTACTTTGATTAAAGCTAATGATATTATCCAAAAGAGGCCTGATTCTATTGACAACTAATTTAGTGATGATCTTGCAAGTAACATTACAAAGACTAATAGGGCAGAATTGTGTGATACTAGTGGGATTATTAACTTTAGGAATAAGAACAATAAGGGTTTCGTTGATCTCTTTGGGAATTTGTTGGTTGGAAAAACAAGTTCTTACAAAGTCACAGATAGATTGCCTACAATTGTTCAATATTGATGTTAAAAGACAGCTTGAATCCCATCATTCGCTGGGGCTTTATAAGCCCCAATGGCCTTAGTAGCTCTCCATATTTCAAAGTTAGTGAGGGGTTTTAGCAAACCATCATTGTCCTTCTTGGTGAATTTATTCTTGGTAGTGTTACTCTAGTTGGCCAAATGGGTAGTGTTTACCCAATTAAAAAGGTCCTGGAAGTAGTGAACAATGATCTGTTTAATACCTTCAGTATTGGAAATCCAACTACCCTCCTCATTTTTTAGGACATTTATCTTGAGCTTCCTCGTTTTGGTGATGGTGGATATGTGGAAGAACCTAGTATTTCTATCCCCTAAAGTAATATGTTTGCTTCTAGATTTTTGGAACCAGTGGACCTCTTCCTGAAACAAAGTATAGTTATATTGACTGACCAGGTCTCTTTCAAGGTGATGAAGATTATGGTTAAAGTTCATGGCTTGAGATCTCTGAATGCCCTCAATTCTAGCTAAGAGTCTCCTTTTTCTTTTAAAGATGTTACCAAAAACTTCATGATTCCAGATTTTAACTTTCTGAGTGAATTCATTCATGAAGTCAATAAGATTGTGGTTCATAGTAGTCCAAGCAGATTCAATAATATCAGGAAGGCTAGGATGAGACATCCAAGCAGCCTCAAATCTAAAAGGCCTAAGTGGAGGGGTTAAAGAGTGCATACCTTGCGTGTACAACACAAGGGGAGAATGATCTAAATATGTTCTGGGAAGAACTCTGACAGTAGTTTCAGGAAACATAGCTCTCCAGTCTACATT